AGTTTATGGGCTCTGCCGCCCCCAGGTGGCCACAGAGTACATCACGGCGCTGTGGCTAAGACCCCACTTTCCCTCTCAAAGCATCCCTCCCACTCTGAAGGCAGAAGTCACCAGATCTAGCAAATAAAACTACAAGAAGTGCAGCTAAATAGGACCTTGGATAGCATGGAATGGCTTTTAGTGGCAGCTTGGACCCGGTGTCCATTCATATCTGCAGGTAGAAATTTCAGGGTCAAGGAAGGTCCTTCCCTTCCCTGGGTTGGGGTGAGAGTGTGGGGTGAGAGGTTGACAGTGTGTCAAGAGAGCCAGAAATGGGATACCCCTGCCCTCGTTGCCACCCTGCCAGGGGGGTTCAGCTGGGATGGGCTTTTCCCTTCTTTCAAAGAAGGTGACAAATTGCCTGGTTCACCCGTCTATGAGACTCTACTTAGTTGAAAGTCAGGATCCACCACAGGGTGCTGAGGGGAGAGAGTCAGATACCAAGGGCCGGCTCCGCCCACTTCCAGGACATGTGGAGAGTAGACACACACGGAAATCCTCGCTATGGGCCGAGGGCATGGTGTGGCCGGAGGAAGAGGGCTTTCTGGGGTGGTGAACATGGGCTGGTGCGTGTGGTCACACGTGGAGGGCTCTGACATGTTAGCAGGCGACTCGTGTGGTATGTGAATGAAATCTGAAGAGCCCCTATGTGGCGCTGGGTAAGCACTTGCTGCTACCGGAAAGCTCAGCAGTTTGAACCCACCAGCGCCTCCACGGCAGAACGATGAGCCCACTGCTCTTGTGAAAATGGCAGCCTTGGGCACTGTGGACAGCTCCACCCTGGACAGAGTCTCTGAGGCAGGTTGACTCCACGGCAGTCTGTGAAACAGCTAGAAAATATGTGTTTTTAAAACCACTGCTGCATCCGGGACACTGATCTGGGCCCTTTCAAGGCAAAGTTAGGGTAGAGGAAGCCGGGAGCATGGACGTCCTCTGTGGCCACTGTGCAGCTTCAGTGGGGGCCTGGAGGACGCTGGGTCAGGACTGGGTATGAATCTATTTTTGCTGATGGAGCTCCCTCCAGGAAGGAGGAAGGGACCCTTGCAGGCTGGCATTCGGGGGGCTCCGTGGGATTCTTGGGGCTGAGCCTTGAGTACGTACCCAGCGCGGCCTGTGTCTGTGCTGCTCCCTAGTGTTGATGGACAGCAAGTGCAGCTCCCTAGTGTTGATGGACAGCAAGTGCAGGTCCACCTGGACCCAAACTAGTCATGGTGCCAGAATCTCAGGACAAGCCACCCACAGGGGTGCAGACTCACCCTGCCACCCACATTATCACGGTGTCCCACCATCCAGCCTCTGCAGACTGTCCAGGAGGACACAGGAAGAGGATGTCCCTACACAGTGACCAGCTGGGTGGGGTCGATCAGCCCAGATGATGGGAAGAATGGAGGGAGGCACCCTCGTGGGCGCCGCAAGGAGGCCACCTGCAGCTCTAGGGCACCCTACTGCTTCAGAATTTGCTCCTGGGGTTGACTTAGACTCTTCCCCCAGGCCTCAGTGGAGTCAGGGACATATCTGGTCTTAGTCACATGAGGTCCACTTGGGAGGACAGCGAGCCCTAGAGGAAGACACCTGATGGGGCTGGGAGGGCAAAGGGGGTCATTGGTGATGGGGTGAGCCTGCAGCCCTGAGTGGGTGGGTCAGAGAATGGGGCTGGAGTGCATTGAAGGAAGGCTAGCTGGCATCCTGCAGGGCAGAAGTGGTGGTGGCATGGGGACGGGGCCCAGCCTTGGTCTGTGACATCTGTAGAGGAACTCAGGAGGGAGGCACAGGAGAGGGAAAGCTTGAGGTGACCAGTGGGAACTGTAGCCGGAAGGCAGTGACACCACCTGGGGACAGGGTGTCAGGACTGAAGAAGACTCACTGCCAACTTGAAGCACCCCTGAAGGCTAGGACCCCAACCCACAGCGTCCCAAGTCTGGGATCACAGACTGACTCATCTCTTCCCTAGAGTCAGGGACAGATTCAAACCTGCAAGTTTTTAGTGACTAGCTGAGCTCTTTAACCACTGTACCACCAGGCCTCCTTAAAAGCATCCACCGCCCTTGAGTTAATTCTGGTTGCAGAGCTGTGACTCTTTGTGAAAGGAGATGGTCTATTTTCTGATGAGTGGGTGGAAGGCTTGAACAGCTGACCTAGCCGCTAACATGCCGTGGACTCAGTTTTGTAGATTCCTGAGTCCCACAGAGCCCTGCAGGGCCCTACCATCCTCAAGACCTCTGGAGTGTGGGCGTGGCAGCTGCAGGATCTCAGTGAGGGTCTTCTCTTTCATGGACCTCCTTGACCAAGCAGAATGCCTTTCTCCAGGGACCAGTCCTTCCTGGTAACGTGCCCAGTGTTCTTGAGACAAAGTCTCTCCATCCTGATTTCTGAAGAGCATTCTGACTATATTTTTTCCAGGACAGTTTTGTTTAGTTTGACTGTTCCTGGAATATTCAGTACTCCATGAACACCACACTTCAAAGGGGAAACCAAGTCCCTGGGTCGTGCTTCCTGTAGGTCAAAGTAGACCTGGTGTGGAAATGGGGACAAGTCAAGTCCCCTTGAAAGTGATGCATGGGGACCCTGGGCAGTGGCCTGCCTGCAGGAGCTCAGGCAGGTGGTTAAGCAAGATGGAAGTGGACTGTTTTGCCTGCCCCAGTCCCCCTGTCTCACCTGCCCCAGTGCCCCTGTCTCACCTGCCCCACCTCCCTTATTCCTTCTGTCGTACCTGCCCAACTCCCCCAGTTCCTTTTGCCCTTTCTGCCCCACTTCCCTCAGCCCCAATCCTACCTGTCCCAGGTCCCACCTCCCACAGCCCGGCCAGCCTCGAGGACACTAGCAGGAGCACCTTGACCTCCAGTCCTCTGTACCAGAGTTTGTAAAGTGTCCACTTCTGGGCCCGAGCACAGCAGACACTCCTCAGGTGGACAACGCCCCTCCTCCAAGCTGGTGACCTGTGGCCTCTGTATACAAGAGCCCAGCATGGACCCAGGCCCCACCCAGTCTACTCCAGAGTCAGCTGGACCCAGGTTCTGGTGGGCTTTACAGAACCATTCAGGGAGTGACAGGACCATGCCTGTCAGCTCAGCTCCACTCTTGGATGGTTCTTGGAAGGCCAGACAGGAGCCAGAGGTGAGGGGTGCATGTGGGTGGGGGAGGAACAAGTCAGGAAAGGTAGGTAAGACTGGAAGCACAACATAGAGAATGCATCCAGTGCTACCGAAGTGAGAGATGTTGCCCTGGTGTGTGTACTGCACACAGAACACACGTATACACACATATTCATACACATGTCTCAGCACTCTAATGCATACGTATGAAAATGCACCACACACGTGCATACACCCACCCACCCACTCACACACGGAGGCACATCACACACCTGTAGACCCACACATGTGCACGCACAGATATGAATATACATTCACACACTCACATAGAGGCATATACATTTGTGCACACACACTCACACACCCACTCACACATGCATGCATGCACACTCACCTGTCCACCCACACACATGCATACACATATATGAATATACATCCACATACTCACACAGATGCACATACACACATGTGCATGCACACACATGTGCACACACCCCACACATGCATGCACACGCATGCACATATACACACATACATGTGCACACATGTATGTACAGGCACCTGCACACCCACACATGTACAAAGCACCTATATGAATATGCATCCACATACTCACATGTGTGTACATACATAGATGCAGATGCACTCGTGCACACACATGTACATGCACACACCCAACACATGTATACACATGTAGCCACACACGTACACATGTTCACACACATACACACACCTTTACACTCACACATATGCATGTGCATCACACATGTGTAGTTGCTCTTGAGAGTGGCAGGAAACGGAGACTCAGCACAGGAGGTCATTGTCCAAACTAGCATGGCATCTGGAAGGAATGATGCCTCTGTTTGTCCCTCTTTGGTCACAACAGGGCATCACTGAGGGTTGGGGGTCACCTTGGGGGGGCTGTAGCGCCAGGAGAGTGGTCAACCCTCCTGCCTGTGGACACAATGGGAGCATGAAACCCACAGACACATGAGACGCTACACAGAAGACTGAAATATGAAAATATATTCACATTTGCACATGTGTGTCGAGGACCTTGAGGCTCAGGTTCCAGAGCAGCCCTGGGGACCCCAGGCCACCCCGATGATGAGGAACCGGCACTGTGCCCTCTGTGTGCCGGGGTGAAGCACATCTCATAAATACTTCTGATGGAAGCAGCCTCATAGTCTGTACACTGCCCACGGCACATGGGAAAGTGGGTCGTCACCTTTTCGATGGACTGGTCCTGGGGGCTGCCTTACAGGCATCAGAATCCCGGGGAGCCTGGTTCCATGCTGAATCCACAGTGATACAGAGTGTGGCTGGGCATCTGAACAGGCAGCAGGTGTCTCCGTGGTTGTGCCAAGTCCAAGGTCGAGAGATGGGTAGCTGCTCTGTGCACAGCCACTGCCCAGGCCTTCACAGTAAATGAAAATGTGCACCCATCCCACACAAGCCAGGCTCCTGACCACCCCGGGGGACACAGCCCTCTCAGGCTTCCCTGGACAGCACCGCGAGCAGAGCTTGCGAGAAGAGGGCTGTTGCTCTCTGAGTCGGTGCAAAGCCTTGTGCTCTCCTCCTGGTGATGACTGAAGACTGTGGGACAGCAATCTGCCCCTGTCCTGCGCCCACTGGGAACAGCTGCGGGGTGGGGCTGGGGCGGGGTGGGCAGCTGCGTCCAGAGCACCCTTGGCTGGCCCTCAAGCTCATCTCCCACATTGCATTCACATTTTGGACATTCAGCCCAGATTTTGGGGTGGCCCCCAGTCCTGCAACTCCACTGTGAGGTTCTCGGGGTGGGGGGCTCAGTGCTGGGGATGCAAGACCACCACTCCTTTGCTGTGGTGGCAGAAGGCTGAGAATCAGCGTTCAGACGTCGCTCTGGTGCTGGAAGACGGAGGTCTCTTCTGGATGGTGGGTGGGATTGTCAGAGGCCGAGGACTGACTGGGCAGAGAAACTTCCAGGCCATCGGAAGACCCTGACGGGGGCTTGTACAGGAAGCAGGCCGCCATGAAGAAGAGGACACCAAGTACCTGGAGGAGGAGGACATCGAGGCTGACCTTTCCACAAACTGACACCCCCAAATGTTGAGGGTTGACCCCCACAGGCCTGCAGGGATACTGAACTTGGAATACAGAAGGTTGGTTCTCCCTCTGAGCATGAAGGTCACCCTCTCTGGGAGATCTACCAGGCTGACCTTCCCACTGGGGAATTGTGGGATATTGCAGGATATTGCATACTGACCTCCCCCCAAATTCTCCCAAGCTGACCTCTCCTGAAGGTCTCCCAGGCAGACACCCTGTTTATAAGACATCCCAGGCTGACCCCTGACCCCAGGGTCTTCCAGGTCAGAGCCCATGACTTCTTGGAGGAAGTTTGTTTGAGGAGACTTGAGGGGATGTCAGGGTCTCTGCAGACATGATGATGTAAAAGAGCTGCAGTGAGGGCCTTCCCTCAGCCCAGGGTGAGTGGACCTGTCCCCGTGACTGTGCCCAGGGAGATGGAACCCTGAGTCAGGGCTGAGTGAGCCGGCCAAGACTAGAGGCGGTATCCCAGGGGCCGGGAGAGGCTTGGAGTCCCTCCAGCAGCACTTCTTGAAGGCACTGTCTGCCTCTTAGGGATCAGGGCCCAGCCACACCCCGTCAGACATCTGGTCTCCAGACTGGGAGAGTGCTCGCGTCCAGGCCAGCGTCTGTGGTCACTCTGGGGCTGTAGGCAGAGCTGGCTGGCTGTGACTCCTGCGAGCTGGGCCGAACCCCTGTGTGTGTGTGGCCACCTCACTGGGCACTTGACTTGTAAGGTTATGTCAGCTTGGGGTGTGAACTATGTGTGACCAGGGGTGGATGCGCTGACACCCTCCACTCCCTCACCACCTGGACATACATAAGGCCACCTGCTGGTCCCAGGCCCAGAGCCTATGGGTTCTTCTAGGAAGAGCACACGAGGTAAGTCTGCTGTTCTGTGCACACGCACGTGTACGTGTATATACACTTAACATTTGAGAACCGGACTTTAACCAGAATCCCCACTGACTATGTGGGGCTCCCACCTGGGCCCCAAGGGCTGAAGGTCACCTGCCTGCGGGACACTGTGGAGTTCCCACATGCCCTACTGGAAAGTGTTTGAGGGCATATATGTCCACTCCCCTCAGGAACACAGCACTCGTGACACTGTCCTCAAGGCTGGACAGGGCCACTTGTACTGCCCACTGCAGCCCCCACACACGTGGCTCCAGGCGTCAAGGTCAGCTGAGGGAAAAGGTCAGGGTCTATTTCCAGAGTTGACTGGAAGCTCCTCCCTAGAGCCTTGGTAGTGCAGTGGATTAGCGCTCAGCGGCTAACTGACAGGCCGGGGGTTGGGACCCACTAGCTGCTCGTGGGCTGTTGTGAGGCCAAGGGGCTGCTTTCCTGACTCCAGAGCTGCCCCGATGCTGAGCCTTGTGGACAAACCACAGGGAAGATGCTGGCTTGAGAGGACACCTTACTCCAAGGTTCAACAGTGGGGTCCTGCATCTGCCTCCTGGCCCCGGGAATCTGGTCCGCACTGTTGTTGGGGTCTCCCTTGACTTTGAAGGTTTGGGGAGTCTCTTCTAAGGGGAAAGTTCAAACTGTGAGCTGGGGGCTGAGGGGCCAGTGGGGAGGGAGTCCCAATGAGGACAGAGGGGATGAGGGGCCCAGCAGAGTCCCAAGGGAGGCCAGGGGGTATGAGGGGACCAGTAGAGAGCACATGTGGGCAGACAGTGAGAGCAAAGCCTCCTGGAAGGGCAGAGGCAGGGAGGGCGGCCCACCTGACCCCTAAGGCACTGGCCAGGGGATTGTGGCTGACCACAGGGGAAGCTGAGCCACTGAACTACAGTGTAGTGGGGCTGCAGTGTAGCTGAGAGGGGCAGCTCCCTGTAGGGAAGTGGAGGGGTGTGCAGGGCTTGGGGTGACCCCAGGGCTGCTCTGTGTTACCAGAGCCCCAAGAGTGCTCGTTTGAGCTGGGCCTGGGCCTGAGGTACGGTGTGTACTCACCACTTTCCATTTGCTGAGTCCCTGGGGGAGAGGCCTAGCGCCCTGTTCAGTGGGGGGACCCTAAACTCCCAGGTCTGCACAGGGTCATTGTCCGGACCCCTCACCTTGTACAGGAGTCCGGTGATGAGTATGTACCGGCTCATGGCTGCGTTCCGGTACACAAAGCAGGAGCCCTGCACGCCACACTGGTCCTGCCAGAGCAGGCACGCCTTGTCAATCACCCAGCCGAAGGCAATGGGTCCCGGGATGCCCCCTACAGAGAGAGAACACTCAGGGCCAAGCAGCACGGAGAGGGGAGAGGGGGGAGCGTGGGGACGATGGCGGAGGGACATGCACATAGGGTGAGGGCTGAGACATCAGGGATGATGGCAAGGGGAATGGCCGGCAGCACTGGAGGGTCCATGATATCAGGGATGAAACTGAGGGGAACCCACATGGCAGACAGCCCTGGGGGGCTGAGATGATGTCAGAGTTAATGGGAAGCCTATGTGGTGGGCAGCACTGCCCCACCTTCCTGGGAGTGATGGGCCTTTTTTCCAAGTAGCTGCTGGTGGATGCAGCCAGGTATTTTTACCACTGTACCCCCAGAACACTTTTCAGGAGTTCTGGGGGTGTGTGGTCTGGGGCCTGAGGGTTCCCCTAATGGTCTCTGCCTCTTGATCCCACAGGAAAGTGAAGGAAAGCACCCAGAGTTCAGCTCGCTGGGCAGCCAGCAGAAAAGTCAGAGGTCTAGGGAGCCCCAGAAGAAAGGCCTGGTGACACCATCAGCGGCCTCTGTAGGGCCTCCAACACGGGGCCTGGGCTGGGCCTGTGTACCTGCAGTGGGGCTGGGCTTTTCAGTCTGGGCAAATGAAACAAGGGAGATCTTCCAGTATGCAGGTGGGGGAGCTCAGTGGGCCCTGGGGGGTGTCCGTGCAATCCACACCCACCCGCCCCCACGTGGCTGCAGGTCCCTGGAGCGGAGCAGTACCTAGGGTTCTAACAACGATCCACTGGATTCCGAGTGCGAAGGACCGCTGCCAGTCACACACACACCTGTGAGAAGGTGCAGCCATGGCTACAGAGCACGGAGCCTGGCTCACCCTTGCCAGGCCCAGTCCTGATGAGCCCGAGGCCACCTCCCCACCTCCTGCCTCCCTGGGTCAGAGCCCCAGCACTTCCGGGGCGGCCGGCCATGTGCTGTCCGCATGCGAGCCTGCCGGCTTAGGGCCCAGAACATTCCACAACGGGGCTGCCAACTCAGGGCCAGGCACCTTCCAGCGTGGGACCAGGACTCGCACTCAGGGCCCAGAATGTTCCCCAGTGGGACGTGGGCCATGCATGGCACAGGACTCAGCATAGGCCCTGCGTGTCCCGTGGGACCTGGCCTGCGGAGCTCCAACCTAGAGGCCTGCAAAGGAAGGTTCTGGACAAGAGCCCACCCATTTCTTACCGTAGGGTTGCGGTCAGCGCGGGAATGCTGCTGAGGAATGTAAAGATAATTACAACGAATACGAAAACCAGAAGGAGGGGCTTTCTCTGACAGGTGGAGGTGCATTTCCCTGCAGTGGCATGGCCAAGGCCAGAGGACAAATTCTGAGGGACACAGCTACAGTCTCGGTACACCTGAGGAGCCCAACGACAGGCCAATTACAGGAGGAAGGGCCAGGGGGCCTCCCAGCCCCGCGGGGATGGCAGCCCACACAGCTGCCACTCACCTTCCGGCCACCCAGGTCTGTGGTGGCCACTGACAGGCATCCCGCGTGGCAGGGCGAGTAGTACATGAGGCCGTCGGAGCCGCACACGGGGCTGTATTGCTCAGGCTGGCAGTCACAGGCCGCGTTGCAAGTGGTTGTCAGCTGCAGGTGGCCCTGCGGCAGCGGGCTGTGGGGGAGTGGGGTTTGCAGGTTGTTCCCAAGTTGTTTCCAGGCCCTGGCTACTTCAGACACACTCGGCACCTGTCCCTCTGTCCTTCCTCACTGTGCAGGTTCCCAGGAGTGAGGTCGCTGGGAGGGGTGCTTGTTGAGAGCATGTGTGTGTCTCTGTGTGTGCATGCATGCCCACATGTGCACACATGCTCATCTGCGCACATATATGTACGTACACACGAACCTGTACATGCGTGTCCATATATGTATATGCATGTGCACATGTACCTGTACATGTGTGACCAGCTGTGCATATATGCTGTATCCTTTGTGCCCGTGCATGTGTCCATGCACATGTGCACACAGGCTCATGAGTCCATGTGTGCCCAGGTGTGCATGTATGTGCATCTGTATCTGTGTGACCATGTGTACATACACACCTGTGTCCTTGTGTGCCTGTGCATCAGTGTGTCCATGCACGTATGCACACATGCTCATGACTGCTCATGTATGTCTGTGCATGCACACATGTATGCACATATGTGACCATGTGTGCACATACACACTCCTGTGTCCTTATGTGGCCATGTGTATGCATGCTCATGTGTGCCCACATGTCCATGTATGTATGTGCATGTGCACGTGTCTGTGTGACTGTGTGTACATACAGACACACGTGTCCTTGTTCTCCCATGTGTCAGTGGTGTTTATGCACGTGTGCACGGATGGCTACGTGTGTGCCTTGTCTATGCGTGTGCACTTGTGTGTGCCCATGCATGTGTGGCTGTGTGTGCATGTGTAACTTAGGGGGGTTCCTGCTGCACGTCATGAGCTCACATCAGCTCAAGAAGAGCCTAGAAGACACTGGTAGTAGGGCAATTGTCCCACTGCATGGAGACTGAGGCCCACAGGGCACAGGCAGGCACCTGAGCTCAGGTGTCCTTAATGGCTGCCCAGGTGCCATTTTATAAATTAGCCTTAATCCATTGACCTGGCACAATGGGCATCTTCCTTGTGAACAAGTGCTGCTCGTTTCACTGACCTTCCCTTGTCCCTGGTGAGCTTCCACACAGGTGAGCCTTCACACATTTGTTCCCATACAGATGTGTTCCCACACAGGTAAGCCTCCACCCAGCTATGTCTTCACACATGTGTCTCCAGGTCATTGCCCTTATTGGGGGTCTCACCTTCCACTGTAGCTGACTGTCACTCCAGCCATGGGCACATTGGGGCAGTGCAGGAAGAAGATGAATATGGCCAGGAGGCTGACCACAGTGCAGAGCAGGCAGAACTTGATGATGTCCGAGCCACGCAGCTTAAACTTGTTCACCAAGAAGCCGCCCAGGAAGGTGCCACCCCCGCCTGCCGGGACCACCAGGTACCCTGGGGATAAGTGTCCAGTGAGGTCTTGGAAGGCATGGCCAGGAGGGCCCACATCCCATGAGGTGGAGAAGGAATGGTGGGGTCCTAATCTTGTGCTTTGTCCCCTCTTACCCCAATTGGAACCAGGGAAGGCAGTGTCTGGCTTCAAGTAAACATAGAGGCATCCTACCTCCATGTTTGGAGCTGACCCCTGGGCCAAACACTGACCCCTGTGCCCAGGGCTGACCCTGGTGCCCAGCGCTGACCTGGTGCCCAGCACTGACCCTCATGCCTGGCATCTCCCTCTGGCTATGTCTTCAGTGAGACCGAGATAGCCCCTGAGAATGCTAACAGAGGAGGTGCCCACCCTGTAGACCCATGAAGGCCAACCAGCCTCTGGCCGTGGTATGCCCGTGGGCCATTCCAAGAGCCCCTGAAGCCCTGGGCACCAGGACCACGTCTACAGCCAGGCCCTGAAGAAAGTGGGGGGCTCTAGGACCATCCTACACCCCTAGCAAAGCTGCCAGAGTGTGCATCCTCTTATCCCAGCAGGCCTGGCCCGGCACCCCCTTCCTGCCACCTTGCCACCTGCAGCAGTCGTGCAAGCATGGAGCTCTTGCTGTAACTGGCCCCGACCCCTGCGCTGGGCTCTAACGTGAAGCAGCCTCTGGAGGGGCTTTCCAGAGACTCCTCATTCATCTGCGAACCATGGCAAGTAGAGGCCCTCCCACCTCCCGGGAACTCTGAGATCTGGGGGGGTTCTCACCAAACAAAGTGGCTGCTTCTGAGGCGCTGAGGCTGAACTGGGACTCAAGGAACTTGGGGCCGAATGTGGACATGCCAGCGATGAGAGTGGCCTCTGTGGCCCCAGCCAGGCAGAGCAGGATGAATGCAGGGTTCTTTAGGAGGATCCAGATGGAACTGGACAGGGTGAAGGGCATTGAGACCAGAGAGAAGAGACCGAGGGTCAGGGTGGATCACATCTCAGGGAGGGGAAGCCCTGACCCTCCGACCTGAGCAGAAAGGGCCCTAGTTCTGAGATAGCTACATGTGGGGCCAGGAGAGCCTGCAGGGAGCTCGCACCCCAAGACTGAGCTGGTGACTGCTTATCAGGAAGGCCTCGTGTGAAAGCTTATCACTGCCTGGTCCAGAATTCCGGCCTCAGAGCAGAGCTGCCCACACATTTATCCAGACACCGGGTGACCACAGCGACTGCTGAGTCATCTCTGAGCAACACTGTTGGGGAGCAGAGGGACCTGCTAGGGAGCAGGGGGTTGGGGGCCGGAGGGGATGGATGGCCACGCAGGGACGAGGCTTGCTCACTAGTGGGGTTATGGTGGGGTTTGGAACAGAAGTCCCCAGAGAGCTCCTGTGGGTTGGGCTGGACCCGAACTTCTCTTGGTTGCACTTGGGGGGCCCGTGGGAGGTCTTGAATCTCTTCCTGAGGACTGGGGGGCCTGGTCTCTGGACCCCGAGGCACGTGTTCATCTCTGTCCCTGGAATGTGGTCTGGGTGTGGGCATTTTCTAGAGGCTGGAGGGAATTCTGAGCTTTTCCGGTCAGTCCCCAGGTGTCCAGCCCCAGCACGGGGTTACAGCTGGCCTGACACAGGCCTGGATGCAGAGGCCCTGAGAGTCGCTCACACTATAAACACTCTGAGTTTTTATTAGGGGCTGGAGAGTGACAGGGACAAACATGAGTGACCTGTTTCCTGCCTGTGGTGGGAAGGCTAGTCAGGTGTCCTGAGTGCTCACACCTCTTGAAGTGGGGTTATGAGTGGAGATGTGTCTGCAGGTCCTAACCCCAGAACCTGTGAATGTGACCCCACAGCAGGGTGGGCCCTGATCCATTGTGAGGGGTGTTACTAGAGTAGGAGAAAAAGAGATGCAGACAGACAGGGAGGACAGAGGCCGAGGTGGGAGTGTGCTGTCTGATCGCAAGTCAAAGCACTTGCCAGCCAGGCCACAGTCGGCCCTGCCCGCGGCCTCCGGTCTGTGGGGGAGTGCTGCTCTGTGGCCATCTGCTGCGTGAGCACCTTCGAGCAGAGCACAGTGGGCCTGGCGGGGAGGATGTAGAAACATCCTCAGGGTCCACAGCCGCAGGGAGAGTTTGAAAGCAGAAGCATCAGCTCTGCCCCACACCTCGTTCCAGCTTCCTGGGTGCCCCACCCCACCCTTCTCACCCCCTAGCAGCAGGGTCCCTGCCTCAGGACTCAGCGGTCTCTGTCCACAGACACCCCGGTTTGCCAGTGGGTTTGGAAGGCAGAGGGAGACAAAGGATTGTGGTGAGTGGTTTGGTGATAGCCAGGATGCCAGGGGCATGTCCAGGTGGCAGAGGCCTTGTGTCCTACTGCTGGCCCTGTTCACCAATGAAAGTGGCCATGCATCCACTCTGTGCCTTTTTTTGGGGACACTTAATCCAGAAAGCAGCAGCCTGTACCATGATGAGTGATCCCTAGTGGAGCTTGGAGCTTACACAGACCCACTCTTGCTTCTGGTCTCAATGACCCTGTGAGGGGACACTCCCCTCCCAGCCAGCCTGCATCCACCATGAGGAAACAGAGCTGAGCTGGTCAGAACAGCTTCAACCACCCCCTGAAATCTGCTTCACTCGGGAGGCACGGCCAAGCAAGCATTCATTCTGGAAAAGCCGTTTCAGAATCCCTTTAATAAGGAGCTCTGGTGGCGCAGTGTGTGCTGTGCTGCTCACAGCACAAATCTACCAGCTGGCGAAGGGTGGGCGGTCTGGGACCTGATGGGTGGTTGCCTGGGGGCAGTGAGTTTGGGTTGAGGTTGGTTGTGGCCTTTGAGGCTCAAAGCTCCCAGCAGCCCCCGCGGCGCGGGCAGCAAGGCAGAGACGGCACTCTCCGGCATTAGACACGCTGATGACCTGGATGGAGTGCAGCCCAAGTGGCCCTTACAGATGAGAGGGAGAGACTTCATCTCATGCATCGGTGGTGACTGGTCCATGGAGAGGGACATCAAGCTTGGCAAAGTAGATGGTTCAACAAGATGGCCTGACTCAGAGACTGAAAGGCCGATCTCGAGCACCGTGGAGACAAAGAGGCCACAAGGTCTGGCAGCTTTTGTCCTGCTGTCTCAGAACCACTTGACCACACTGAGCGAACTGTGGGGACGCTCACGGCATGGCGAGGCTCTGAGAACAGATGCCCATTCTGGCACGTGCGCCCCTCTGATGAGGGGGCATGCCCTGGTCAGGGCTGACCCTGGGCTGCCGGACTGAGCGTGTCTTTTCTGGCTGCCTTCCTACCCCACTCCTCACAGCAGGAACCAAAGACAGAGCTTGGAGGGGTGTCCCCTGCATGACATGGGGGCAGGGGATGGGTTTGGGCATTGGTGTCCCTTCCGTAGTTACCCTCAGGACATATCTCCTGGTCCTGGTGGGGCTACCGGCCCCACTGGGCCCTCCTACACCTGGTTGTGGAGAATGCCCAGGGTGGGGGACACCTCCATCCTTGGCAGGGATGGGCAACCCCCTGACAGTGTGGACGCTTCCTTGTCCTTCAGTCCTGCTCTCAGCTTCCTTGGCTGAAACTCTCGGGCTGAATTTGCCCAGGAACTTGTCATGACCTAGAGAGGGCACAGGTTCTGGATTGTTCTATTAATAGCAGCTGGTTGAGGAACTATAGGCCTGGTCCTCATTATGGTTTGAGGACCTAGAGAGGCACACTCACCACATCAACATGGAAATGGGTTAGAGGAGAGACCAGTAGCTGTGCTGGGGGTGTTCTGGGCTCTCCTCCCCAAGATGATCTGTGGGTGCTAGGAGAGACGTGCTGGCCCTAACTCTCTGCCCCAGACTCTCCTCTATGGGTGATGCCCCGGGACCACTGACCAGTCAGCCCATGGCCTCGCCCAGCCTCTGACCAGCCCCCAACAGGCAGCCAAGCTCCTCCAGGTGAGCAGTGAACAGAGGAGGGGAAGCAGGAGGGGAGCCCCAGTATGACAGGAAGGAAGTAGGAGCTAGAGGCCTGCCGGTCCCTACTTCCCCTTCATTCTCCCCTCCTCCTCTGCTTTGTCTCCCTAGCCTCCCTCCCCCCTTCCTCCTCTTCCTCCTCCCTCCTTCCCTCCATCTTTTCTCCCCTCCCTTCTCTCCCAGCCCCCACATTCCTCACTACCTCTCCCTCTTCCACCGTCCTTCCACCTTTCTACATCTCCCCTTCCCTTCCTTCTCTCTACCTCATCTCCTCCCTCCTCCCCTCGCCCCTCCCCTTCCATCCTCCCTCTGCCCTCCTCCTTCCTCTCCCCTTCTCCTCCTCCCTCCCTTCCTCCTTCCTCCTTCCTCTGCTCCCTCCCCTTCCTCCTCCTCTCCGTCATCCTCCTCTCCTCCTCTCCATCCTCTTCTCCTCCTCCCTTCTTCCTCTCCTCCTTCTCCTCCCTCCTCCTCTCCATCATCCCTTCTTCTCCTCTTTCCTTCTCTTTGCCCATCACTCCATCCTCTACCTCTGTCCTCCCCTCCATGCACGTGGTGGGAGGATGGCTGGAGTGGCCAGTTAGACACAGTCCCTGAAAACCAGAGCCAAGAAGGTTCTGGAAGAGTTGGGACACTCAGTGTACTCATTTCTGCAGATGTGACCAGACAGGAGAGTGAAAATGAAAGTCCAGGCAGACTGACAACATTTGAGGGTCTATGTGTGGGCTGCACTGGCTGAGGCCTTGGGGACCTGTGTGACCACGGGGCTGTGGTCCTAACATAGCATCATGACCCAGGAGGCTCCGTGTGCTTCTCCTGTAACTTCCAGCCCTAGAGTATTATAGAGAAGGGGATGATGATCACGCCGTGACCCCAAGGGTCGCCCGATGTTCCCTGTTAGAGGAAGAATAATGGGACTGCAGTAATGGAAAGGAGCTTCCGTTTGTAGGACCCTGGGAAACCCCACACGACAGGGCCCCTAGGTCCCCTCACACTACATGAGAGGGCCTGAGTGTCCCCTCACAGACTGCACATGACAGACCCCTGGTACCCACATGCCTGGTACTTACAGAGGGAGGTCCCGCATGGTTTTCCCAAAGTCCGGGTTGGCTGTGGTCCTGGGACCACTGTCCTTGAGCTTCTGAGTCTCCACTGCCCTCATGACCATGTAACGCTGCGTTCCTGGAAAGACCCTGGGGTCAGGCCAGCACTGTCTGAGCCCCCACTACCTCTGTTGGCTGGTGGAGCAGAGGTGTGGGTGCTGTGAGGGCTTGTGGTACGCTTGAGGTCCAGAGGGGAGAGAAGGGAGGAGGAAGGTGCCCTTCCACGGAAAGGACCCCTTCTGGTAGCCTCTAAGGAAAGGACAGACCCCCGGCCCACCCTGCAGGACAGTGAAGCTGGCCTCCCCCCATGACTGTCCTCACGCCTCCTCACTTCCACGCCCAGGAGTGGCAGGTGCACAGGGACTTTGCTCGCGTAGGAGCAGCAGGGAGGCAAGTGCGTGTCCATCTGCACAGACTTGGGGAGCAGGACATACCCACCTGGTAGCTGCCGTGGGAAGCCAAGAATGGGGATGGTGATGAGGAAGGCAGCAGCCCCAGAGCCCAGGAAGCCAACCCACCAGGCACCAACCCACAGTGGGCTCTCTGTGGTCAGCTCCGTCCTGGGGAGAGACAGGCGAGGCCAGTGTTCACGCCACGTGCATCCTCACTGGGCAGCCTGGGTGCCCCTCGTTCCTTCTCTCCGTCTCTCTCTTGCTCACTCTGTTCTCTGCCTTTCTTGTTCTCTCTCACCCTCCCTTCCTGCCTCTCTCCCCCTCTTCCTCTCTGTCTCTGCCACTCTCTCACTCACTCTCTTCTGCTTAAATGCACAGAACCAGCAGTAAAGGAGCCACAAGACTTCCACATTAGCAGCTGGGAGCTGCCCTGACATTTAAGACTCAGGAGAAATGGTGGCCATGACTTGGGAAGCTTCTGGAACATCTCCGTGCTGTCTCCACCAGTGCTGCTTTCCCCAGACCACTCTAACAGACCGCCCCCCCGAACCCCAGGGCCACTCAAAGGCAGGTCTCAATTCTCCCCTGCCCTGAGCCTACCACGCACTAGAAGGCTGTGAATGATTTGGCCACCTGGACTTCTTGCCCCGCACCACCAGGCCAGGGGTGCTTGGGGTGAAGCAGGGCACCCAGGGTGGGGAGAGGCACTGTCACTCACCGCTGGCCCACCTCCGTGTAGATGTTCAGCAGCGCACCCCCCACCAGGTAGCCGGCTGCAGGTCCAAGGATGGCCGCAGTGTAGAAGACAGCTGTAAGGGGGTGTGGTTGTCAGAGCTGCCCTCCCTCCCTCTGCACGGCAGGAAGAGTGGCACACAGCACATACAACATGGGGACCCTTGTCTGATCCGGGGACCCACACCTGACCCAAGACCCACACATACCTGACCCGGGGACCCACACCTGACCCGAGACCCACCCCCACCTGACCCAGGAACCTACACCTGACCCGGGGACCCACACCTGACCCAGGGGCCCACACCTGACCTGGGGACCCACACCTGACCCAGAGACCCACACCTGATCCGGAGACCCACACCTGACCTGGGAACCCATCAACACCTGACACAAGAACCCCCTCCCACCTGACCTGGGGACTCACACCTAAGCTGGGGACTCATCTACACCAGACCCAAGGACCCACCCCCACCTGACCTGGAGACCCATCCACACCTGATCCAAGGACCCACCCCTACCTGACCCAGGGACCCATGCCTGACCTGGGGACTCACACCTGACCTGGAGACCCGTCTACACCTGACCCGGGACCCATCCACACCTGCCCTGAGGAACCGCAGCTGAGGCTGTAACCCACCCCCACCTGACCAGGGGACCCATCCACACCTGATCCAAGGACCCACCCACACCTGACCCGGGGACCCATGCCTGACTTGGGGACCCACACCTGAGCCTGGATCCCACCTCAACCTGACCTGGGGCCCACACTTGACCTGGGGACCTGTACTGTGACAGCAGAACCCCCTCCCCAAGGAGAAGCCCGCATCCTAACATGTGGGGCCTGCACCCCAATGTGCAAAGGACACCTTCCTGGGAGAAGCTCTGGTAGCTGGCAGGCTCTAGGCCCTGGTTGCAGGCTGTCGTTCTTGGTGCTGGGGGAATATGTGGGGCGAGGGACAAGGCCACCTCTAGGTCCAAAGATGAAGCAGTGTGTGCTGCCCGCCCACCCCCTTCCTATCCCTACCCCTACTAACCAATGTAGACCGGCGAGTAGCTGGACTTGACGTTTTCGTCCAGGTAGGTGACGCCCAGCGTGTAGAGTGGCGTGGCCCCAGCACCGTGCAGAAACTGCCCCAGCATGAAGACCAGCCGATAGTGGGACAGGCCCGAGGTGCTGTCCACGCAGACTGTGCTGTGGTTGCCCTGGCAGGTGGCCACCTCCTCGGAGGCCTCGACTTCATAGCGGCCAGCAGTGAAGTGGGGCAGCGCAAAGACAAAGGAGCCCAGGCCCATGAGCAGCACGCCCCAGCCCAGCCAGCGGGGCTTGTGGCCCGAGCCGCCCAGGTAGCTGACGAAGGTGAGGCAGAGACAGGCGGCGATGTCATAGGCGCTGGCCACCAGGCCGCTCTGATAGCTGTGCAGGTCAAAGCGCCGCTCGATGGACGTGATGACAGTGTTGATGAAGCCGTTGACCGTCATGCCCTGCAGGAAGGACGCCAAGCACAGGAAGAACAGCACGCCCTGTGGCCGGTTGAAGGCCTGCAGGCATGAGGGTGCGAAGGTCCACCAGCCACAGGCCATGTTGGGCTCTGCGGACACGTAGCGCACATCACGGGCAGGGCCCTGACCGTGCTTCCCCGCCGAGGGTGCACAGAGGGGTTGGCTGTAGAGGTCCAGGGGGCTGCTGGCTGTCAGAGTGCCCAGGGAAGCTCTCTCACTGAGGGGTGTGAGGCTGAAGCTGCTGTCAATGACTGCAGGTGGGCTGGGGAAGGTGAGCTGGGGCATGGAGGCAAAGGGCCTGTCCCCTGTCAGGTGCTGTGGCATGTCCACGCTGGGTCTTCTGGTCCAGCAGGGGCTTTAGGCTGAGCTTGGCCAGGTGTGTGTGCTGCTCTGCAGGGAGAATTTTGTTTAGGACCTGCACCTGCCCACAGATCCGTCCTTACCACGGACTTGTCACCTGTGGCAGCGGTGGCTCTATCTACCCACGGCCCATGGACGGGATCTGGAGGTCTTCTCTGGCCCAGGCCCTCACCACCTGGTGTAATGCCTCCGGGATGGTCCCTGCAGGCCCAGCAGCGGCTCTCGATTCCACAGCAGGGCCTCATCAGAACCAGCACCCTCATCTCCAGGCTGCGTGCCCTCATCAGAACTGGGGTCTCTTGTTAGAACTGCATCTGTCCACAGCCTGGGGCTGTGCGGGTGGAACAAATGCCATGTAGGCAGCACCAGGAGCGGCTCAACCCATCTGCCCCCGTGCTACACACACACACACACACACACACACACACACACACGGGCACCAGCAGCCTCCTGGCAGGAGGGAAATCCCGCTCGTCCAAAGGTCAGTGTGGAAATGAGGGACGAGTGGCGCTCCCTGCATGGCAGAGAGCCTGGGGGTTCTGCTGCTGCCTGGAGCCCTGACGGGCTGATTCTCAAGATGCCCAGCAGGGGCCAGTGTGAAGCACTGTGGTGAAGCTGACCAGACTCCCCTCAGCATATCCCATCCCAGTCCTGCCCGCTGACCACCCACTGTGACAGCAAAGAACTGGCCCCTGAGGGGTGAAGACTGTCAATGAAGCTCAGGGGGACTAGAGAACACCCCAGCACCCTCACATGTCATATATAATTTTAGAAAATGAAGTGTCCACAGCCAGGTGGCAGAGCCTTCTCAACACCGTGATGTCCACCAACCGCTGTGCAGCTCCTGAGCTCAAAATTGCTTTGGACCCAAAGCTGCCTGCCTGGGGACATTTCTGCTGCCATATGTCCTGGTGACCCAGGTGGTAACGGGCTCTGCCTTTCACAGCTGAAGTGTCTCTGTCCAAGGTACACAGTTGCCAGGATGTGAGGCATTAGCTGCTGAGTGCACGCATATGGCTGTGGCCGGGCGGTGCCCATGTGTGGGCGCACCATCTGCCTGCCCTCTGTGCCTTGCAGGTAGGATGTCCCTGTGTTGAGGTGACAAGGATTCCAGCCCTAAAACACAGTTGTCCCACAGGCCATCATGTCGAACAGAGGCCAAGAAACAGACTCTGTGCTCAGAGAGGCATGGGTCATGGTCACACTCCAGCCACCGTGCTGAGCCCCTGACACCGTGTCTGCCTCAGATCAAGCTCATCAGCAGAGATCCTTCTGGAGCATGGGGTCCCAGTGCTGGCCTTGCAAGGTGGGACGGTGGCCCTTAACAGACACACTCTGCCTGAGCAGCTATTAGGCGCTCACTTGGAGAGAGGCTCTGTCGAGTTTCTCAGGGTTGCTGTCATGACGTCTCCTTGAGTGAGTAGCCTCACCCTCCAGTGGAGAGCCAGCCACATGGGCTCTACCAGCACTCTAAGGGACAGTTTCCAGAGGCGCACACCAACGGTCGGCCTCCTGGGCTCATACATGCATATACACATACGTGTCCAAGTCTGTCCAGGGGACATCAGTCAGATGACATAGGATGCCCTGCTCGAGTGACCTCAGGTGAACGTGGAGAGTGGCTCAACCTCTAAGATCTAGGAAGACGGGCAAGGCTCCTGGAGGAGCAGGGACCATGCCACATACAGGAGGACAGGTGCCATCCACGGCCACAGCACATGCTCTCAGTGCAGAGCAGGGAGCAAGGGACAGGTGGCAAGGCCCTTGTCACCAACAGAAACCTTACAAACCTGGATTACACGGCCCTAGTCAAGAACATGGAGGAACAGAAAAGACTCAAAGCAACTCAAATTCCAAAGGTCAGCAGAGCCGTCCAGGGCTCTCACATCTGCATGAGTTCCCATCAAGTGTATGTTCTCAGTACGTGTAAACACACACATATATGCACACACACATAGAAACACACATATGCACAGAGATACACACACAGATGCAGACACAGACACACAGAGCCTGGGAGTGCACCCATCAAACAACCACGCACAGCTGGGTGTGCACACGATTGCCTATTTGTACACACATATGTGCACATGCACACCTGTGTACCCACATGGCCTCCTGCTTGTAGACACACAAGCACAGATGCACATTTGTGTGTGTACACAACTAGCCAGACAGATACATGACACTAAACATCTGTGCACACGCATGTAGCCATGCACACCCCTCTGCACATGTGCACACACATATGCAAACACCTGTAGTGCACATATGTACAACATGAAGGTGTTGGGTGGGGCAGGCCAGGCTGCAGAGGCCCCACCTGAGGGGAGGGCAGAGCCAAGCGGGGTCCTGTGTCGACAGACCAGCTTGCTCTCTGCATATGGAGAGCACCAACATCACTCTGCAAAGCCCCAGTGGGTCCCAGGAGTCACATGTGGATGGGGTCCACCTGATGTACGTGCTCATCTGGGACCCAGGTGCCGGTGGGTGCTCCTGCCTTCGATGCAGTCCTGGGATCTAGGTATGACCCTGGATGGCCCCCTGACCCTGGCTCCACAGTGGAAGCACCAGGGCCAGGCAGGACTAGCGGAGGCCTAGCCTGTCAAGATTTGGGGTCAGAATGGCCTCAGAGAGAAGGTAACTTCTTTGAAAACCTCAGTGGCCAAAGGGCTCATTGCAGGTGGTCCAGGCCTGGGATTGCTGCTCACTGGAACAGCTGCATCTGCTGGCCGTGCCCACCTCTGACCCACAGCTGCCAGAGGGCAGAGCAGACGACCACACCTTTCCCCTGAGTACCTGGCATGTTTGAAACACCTGCCGTCAGTTACTGTGTGCACCACCAGGACCCTTTATGTTTAAACATGTGAATTTTAAATCACCTTTAAGTGTCATCCAGGTGCCATTGGGATTTTCCCACCTCTAATGGCACTCAGCTTCTCTTGAGACCCCCATGCTGGCCCGAGACCCTGCAGGTTTGACTCCCAGGAGCTGCCTGCCTTCTTTCCTTACTGACATTCTGTGGACAGGCCCATCCAGGTGCCTGGCCCCCTCCTGAAGGGGACTCTTTCTTTGAGAGACTTCCCTCATCTGCAGAATCTTCGTCAGAAAGAAAGCGGCCCTCCAGCGACTCAGAGCTGAGCAAATCAAGAATGCTTGGGGAATCTGAGCCCCCAGAGGGTCCCAGACAGCACTACCTGGGACCCGCCCTGGCTTCTCGGGGTGCAAATCTAGCACTTGTTTTCTGTAGAGCCTCCCAACCCTGCTGCCTCTTGTTCCTGGAGAACTTGGGAGAGGAAAGAACTCTTCTCACCACCTGCCCAGGAAACATGGAGACGCCAAGAAACTTGAGAGGGAGGACTGAATGAGCGTCCCAGCTGTGCAGGGAGTGGGGTAGTCACTCCCACAGAAGATTGCCCTACAGAGGCAGACAGACCCCCATCCACAGCCAGCGGACCCCACTCACAGTCCGAAGACTCCCATCCACAGTTGGTATCTCCCCTCCACAGCCAGAAGACTCTCATTCACAGCCTGTGGATCCCCATCCATGGCCAGGGGACCCCATTCACAGCTGGCAGCCCTCCCACCTCTCTGACCCTGGAAGTTACAGGTGTGCCAAGAGTTAACGAGGGTAGTTAGGGATGGATTCTACCCTGCAGTTGTGCCCATGGGGCTCGTGTGGGGAGCAGTGTGTGTTCAAGTATGTGCACACGAGTGTGTGTAAGTATGAGTACATGTGCACATGCACAGACGTGTGTGAATGCACATACACACACAGATGCATACTCATGGGTGTGAATGAACGTACACCACACAGGTGCACATATTTGTGTGTGGACACATACACACAGGTACACAATTATGTATCATTAGTGTGCACACGTGTGTGAGTATACATAAATGCATACACTGACACACAGTTGCACATTAGTTGGTATGAGTGCATGTATACACACAGGTGCACACTCATGGGTGTAAATGCATGTGTTTGTACACCTACACACAGGTGCACATTTGTGTGTGAATGCATGTACATACACACAGATGCACACATTCATTTGTGGACACATGTAGGTGCACACTCTCTCTCTCGCGTGTGTGTGTGAGTGTATGTGTGTGACTAATGTGCACATGTGTGGGGCGCTGGGGCACAGATTCCACTTTGGAGCTGCACCACACACCATGAAGAAACTTGGGTTTCATGCCTCCTCTCTCCCTGCACTCAGGCCAGCAAATCCCAGGTAGCCAAGCCCTCTAGGCCCCACAGTCCACCACAAGGCTCAGGAGCGTTTTATAGAACAGAAATCTGGAGGGCAGGATTTGGGGTGCTGTAGCAGCCCAGGCACACCCCCCAATTGCATGTCCTGGATGGGCGCAGGAGAGGGAATAAAGTGCCTGCTCTGCAGGACCACAGTGAGGGGCTGTCCAGAGCCCAGAAGGGCCTCTCCCACCTGGTGGGGTCCCGCTGCCTCATTGGACAACCCTGCTCCCTGCTGAGTGACCAAGTTCTATCCATTGGAACTGGCGTAAGCATGGAAGGTGGAGGTGACAGAGAAGGTGTGTTCACCTGTGTTCTCTCTGCTCACTCATAATATCCTATCAGTGACTTTGAAGCCTTCTCCCTTGGCCCCCATCCCCATGCAATTCTGCAAAAGAGTCTAGAAGCCAACAGAGGGTGAGAGAGGCTGTCCTGGAGCCATGTAGGTGCGCCCACCTCTTAGGGGTCCTCTCCAACCCCAAGTTTCCCCACTTGTAGTTTGGAGAGGAGTGAAGGATCCAGCTTCTGCTGCTCAAGGTGGTCATTCCCTGGGAAGTACCCATTCCCTGGGACAGTGTCCACTCCATGGGACAGTGCCCATTCCCTGGGGCAGTGCCCACTCCACAGCATAATGCCCCCTCCACAAGTTAGTGCCCACTCCCTGGGGCAGTGCCCACTCCACAGGATAGTGTCCACTCCCTGAGAC